TATAAATATGAATTTATTATTTTATTCAATTCTTAGTTTACATTTAACAAAAAAAATGATTTTTACTATAAATATGAAATTTTTTTTTTATACAAACTGTGACCCGTGCGACCTGTGACCGACATGAGCTCGATCCGGATGGGTCAGTTGGCGGGCTCGAGTTATAGTCCAAATTTTGTGGGACGACCCGAAACTGGCCCGGAACCCATAGCGGGCGGGCTTTTCACGCGGATCGTTACCGGGTTCATATGTTGGTTGCCGACCCAGTCCGGACCACCCTGATTGATACCTCTAAGTGGAATTGAGAAAATACAACAAAAAATGGATGCAAATATTTACATGGTTCACCCAATATAGGTTACATCCAAAAGCAAGTATATGAAGATTTCACAATAATAGGAAAAATTACAATAACCTATTCATTAAATACAAGGAGATACTAATAACTAATATTTCTTTAATTATGAGAAACTAAGTAAAAAACGCTTAGAGAAATCAATATATTTCTCTCTATAATTTTATGTATCTCTCTACTCACTATTTTTTCGTTCTACTATGTCTAGCCTATAATTTTCAATTGCTTTCTACAAATTGTATGTCTTTCTCTTCAGGTTCCTCCTCTGTTTATAGTGAAAATTCTCACTTCCCTCGTTAATTGCAGTACCAAACTTTTAATTAAACCTGCAAAGTATTGCTGCATTTCCTATACACTTTACGACTGAAGAGACAATTCCAATTTTCAATCTTTGCAGATCCCCATTAGTATTTAATGCATAATGGAATGCATGTACAGTGTTATCTCATTTTTATCAACAGAGGTAGCTGCATAGGGAAAATTATTTGGCCACCTTTTTTCGAAAGTCAAATGGTTCCATTAATATGAAAATATCTCATGAGGACTTTTGTTTATAGGTAATGATCAAGTCTTGGAGATCGCTAATATTTGTATGGCACGTAAAAGGCCTGAAAAAAAATCTATTGTCTTTAGAGCAATTAGACAGTACTAACTACAAAACCTATGTACAAGATGTGATCATGAAAATAGTTAAAGGCGTGCTTACGGTGATGAAAACAAAAAAGATAGTTACAAATTTGTATATACTTAAAGGAAACACTACAAGGAGAAGTATCTGTTGCATCGATAAGTTCAACAAAAGAATTGACGATGATGTGACACTGAAACAATTCCAACAAGAGTAAACACACGACATGTGGTGGACTTGCTTTTATCAAGATCACTTGCATAATCTGAAACAACATAATCAATGAGAGTAAAATTTGATCCTCCATAACATGATGTAACATTTGACGTACCCTTGAATATTTCAGGATCCTCTTTATAGTACTCTAATGCTCTTTACCAAAATTTGTCATGTATCGACTAACCACTTCTACTGCTCGTACAATGTCTGATCTTGTATTGATTATAGCAAACATTAAGTAACCTACTATTAATGCGTAGGTCGCTCGAAAAATTTCCATCCTCTCTACTTGAAATTAATAGGAAGAAGGGTAGAAGTTGACTTACAATCTTACATAATGCAAGATTTTCTTCAAATAGTTCTTCTAACAAAGCCAAATCTTCTTATTATTTATGTCTCGATAAATTAGCATCGCTAAAATCTTGTTTGCTGATTTCAAGTCCTTCATTTCAAACTCTATAGCCACATGTGCTTTCAAGTCTTTATTATGAT